GAGCCAAGAAATGGCTATCTTCTTCTGGTCAAGGGTGATTTATAAGCAAGGGATGTTGGGGGAGGGTCGGGTCATTTAAATGAAATGCACCAGCATCTCACTGACTGACAAGAAGGTCTGATTTTTTTTTCCAGCATAAGCTACTATTTTCAGAAGTTTCTAGAAGGGCTAAAAGAAGATGTGTGCTGAATTGAGACTTGGCTGCAAAGACTCTTCAGGGAGCAATGATTATTTTTTTTTGGCTTTCATTTAAGAAACAAACCCAACAAAACAGGTATTAGTCAGTCCTCTGTGCAGAGTATAACCAACATGATGAGGTGCCAGAGTACAGGTTCATTCGTTCTCCATGGCTGGATTTGCAGGTCACTGCCTTGTACTGGCGAACAGGGGTGAGCTGGGCTGGTTAACAGACACCCTTCCAGTTCTCAGAGGCCAACAGAGGGATCAGCCATTGTTAAAGTTGACACAGAGCTGAAATGGGAATTATCCCCATAGGCTTTGCTGAAAATTACCAGGTCCTTTAGAACATAGGACCTTTCAATGCTGCTGCAAGCTGGGAGCTGTCTTTCTTGTTTTTTTTTTTTTTTTTTTTTAAACAAATCCATGCCTTATGTTTTCCTAAATAGCCCTTTAAAGGAAAATGCAACCCAGAAATGCTGAAGGTGAGGGCAGCTTCTCCTAACCCCATGCAGCTTGAAACTCAGCACAGTTGGGGAGGAAGCTTGTTTATGGGGAATTTGTTTCCCTTCAACACTGGAGTTCTCCCTGCAGTTAGGTTTCCAGGGGTGGTGTGTAGGTAGGGTCTGCAGAAAGTAGCAGGCAACACCACCCCCAACCCCCAAGCCAACAGCTTCAGAGGGCAGGTTAATTAAAAAGGACATGAAATAGCCTCTGCATGTGTTTAGTTACTGGGGTTTTTTGGCTCACCCCACTTGCTGGGGAGGGGTATATGTAATCCAGCTTCTGCTGTGCTTTCAAGACCTCAGTGGGGCCACATGAACCACTTAGGCACAGGGACAGGTGAAAGGTCAGAAATCCTTCCAACCCTGCCTGTTCTACTAGTATAGGACATGCCCACTGGAGGGGTTGGCACTTCAGGTAATTTTGATTTCAGTGACGCCACACTGCTGAGAACCAGGCACCCACAGCCTCCTGATGGAGCTTTACAGCCAAGTCCCTTGTATATATTCTCTTGTATTAATAGAAACTGTGTATTTATCTAATCCTGGCTTTTTCTTGCACATCATTAATTTGAGTGCACTTCTTGACCACCCCGATTTTTGACAAGGGGTTGTTTTTAATGCTTGTTTTTATATGAGATTTGACTTCTTGATGGACATTTGTATTAGGAAATTGAAGCATGATATATATGTATATATTGTCTCCCCCGTCAATCCTGTTGCATTACTTGGATTGCATGAGATAGTGGGGTGGTGGTTTTGTGTTTTTTAAAAAAATATTTCCACAGTGTGCAAAGTGCTGGCACCATCCTCCCCTCGCCCCCTCCCTTTTCTCTGGCTGCCAAGGAGTCATTGATTTTGATTAGCTTCACTGCAGAGCGTCTGTGAAGAGAAAGAGAGGGAGGGAGGCTTTGAAATAAATTTTAAAAAAGACCTCATATCGGGTTTCAGCAGACAGCTGTGTGTGTGTGTGTGTGTGTGTGTGTGTGTGTGTGTGTCCGCGCAAAGCAGAGGGAGGCCTCTGAGATCATCGTTTAGGTAGCTTGCTGCATAATGAGGTGAGGAGCCAATGGCAGGGCCTCTTTCCTCACCATGCTGCTTATTCTCAGAGAGTGGGGTCCAGGAGCTACAGGGTAGGTGCTTCCTGGGACTTCAACACTCCAAATTAGATCCATTCCTTCTGGAAGCATATTTTTTCCCACCCCATCCCCACAGCAAATAAGATCTCTTCCCCTCTTTTCAAATTTGGGGTTCCATTTCACGTTCTTTGGCACAGATGTAGCCCAAGCCACAGGTTTCCTAGGTTGAGTCCTTTTCATTAGCTTCACTGGCTGCTGTCCATGGTCCTGGACCATGAGCGAAATGGGATGCCTAGAAGTCACTTCCCATTCCTCCCACCATTCATTGGGATATTGGAGGCTTCCATTTTTACCAGTGGTCTCAATTTTTAATCCTTTTCTATTTTTGGTAGAAGGAAAAAAAAAAAGGTGATTTAAACAATGCTGTCACAGAACAATGGAACTGTGACTTTGGCTTCACAATTTATGTAGCTGATCTCAACCTACTCCTAACTCTACGATCATGTTTCTAACAGTGACAAAACACCACTCCCCTTCGCTGGGAGAAGTCGTCCTCTAATCCTACACAAATCTTTTGAGGACACCAGCTTGTCGTTGTGGGCGTTCTGCATATCCACCTGTTAGGAGAAGTTGCAGAGACCGGGACACAGGTCTTATTTTTCTGTTGACAGCAGTTCCTTTTCTGACTGTTCCTTATGTCACCCTGGGCCAAAGGGTCAGAAGCTTGTGGGAAGATGAAGGACAGTCTAGCCACCCTGGTCTATTCCCATGGGAGCTGGTAGAGGAGGAAGTTGACGTAAAATTTTCATTTAAAACTTGAACTGGCAAGTTCATTTTTTCATTTTTATATTATTCACTCAACACCTATTTGCTGAGCACCTACATCATGCCAGGTTGTAGAATCCCATCTGGAAAAAGACCTACTCATTGTGGAGGGCCAGCCTACTTGGATCAGATGATGCTAAAGTCCCTTCCCAGTCTGGTTCACAATTTTTAACAGATTGGGTAGGTCAACACGGTGACTCCAAGCCTTGCTGGCAGATTTTCTGATAGTGTTTTCTGAATGCTGCACCAACATGAAGGTGATTAAAAGTCTGCCATCTCAACTTGTTCCCAGGATGGAAAGACTAGTTCTTGTTTCCTTGTGGTCATGAAAGCCACCACTTGTGGGGTGCTCACCATTCTCAAGTGCTAGGTGCTTCATACTTCCCCAGTACCCCTCATGTCCACTCTACAAGCCAGCAGTCTCACTCTTTGCAGTTTGCAAAAGTAGTTGAGGCTCAGGAAGGTCACTCAGCTGAGCCTGAGTCCACACAAAGAGTGAATGGCTGAGCCAAGATTTTCACTCAAATCCAAGTGACTTCCCCAACTCCACGAGCTCATGCTTACTGTACTTTAGTTCTTTGACAGCTGGTCCCACAGCAGTGCTAGTTCAAGGGCAAGCATAAGCATTGAGCTCAGATTTAGGTCCATTGTTCCAGAGCTGGCTGGCTGGTTTTGTTGGGGGATTTTCTGAATTTGCTCCCTGCCATTTGTGTTTCTGATTTTGATAAGGGAGGGGTATCTAATTTGCAAACAGAGCATCTAATTTCTTAGGACATCTAATTTCTTCTCTCCCACCTGAACACCCCAATTCCTCCTTCCCCAGGTTTTTTGCACTACAAGCACCCAGGAATCTATGTGCGTGGAAGGGAAGGCTGTGGGGGTGTTTGGAACCTCGATGAAGCCTCTGGCTCAGCCTTAGAGGCATTAAGCTAGGGGACATTCCATTCTGGGTTCTGACCTTGCTGGTTCATTGTACCCTTTTGTAAGAGGAATTTCATACCTTGGAGATGCTTTGTACATATTTGTAATGACTTTATTAAAAAACTGGTTGTGCACTTCCAAACGCCTTTGTGTGTTCATTTCCTTTTGGAAGCTTGGTTCCCCCTCAACTATGAGGTGCTCTGTGGGCACATCTCAACCTTCCCTGTTGTATTTCCACACCAGGGGAGAGTTGACCTATTGCTCTTGGGTTTAACAATAGGTTGGGGGAACGTGCCCAAGAGCTGAAGGTCAGTACACAGACCCATCATTTCTCTATGGCCTCATGTAGCAAGCCTCCACACTGATGTCTACAACTAAGGACAGATGGGGCACTCTGGTTGTGTACCTTCACCTGTACTCACCTGACCAAGTTCTAGTCTCTTTCTAAGAATGATGGGTTGAAGATGGGTGGTTCTTCTAGATAGCAGATGTTCTTTTTCTGTAGGCATCCAGTGCTTCTCATTCAGTCCTTATTGACTTAGAGGGTGGAGCTCACCCTTCCACCTCTGTCCCCACCTCCTGGGCTCAACATCTAGCTAATACTTTGCATCTAAAAGGCAAAGTAATTGGTTTGGGGACAAACGAATGGGCATCAATCTCAGGACTCCTGCTGGAGCTCTGGGGGAGCAGAAGCTCTCTGTTGGGCTGTTTTGCTGGTAGACTATAAGGATAGTGCTTATGGGGGCCATCTTGCTACCACAAAAGATCAACTGCTGGAAAAATCCAGTTGTCTCAAAGAAAAACGTCATGGAAAACCATGGCTCCAGCTGTAACTGACCCTCATATTGAGCAATATTTGAGTTAGTGTTCAAATCACTGTAACCCAAAAGTTATGCTGTTTTTGTGGCTAGTTCCATTCATATCACCTCAAGAAACATACATTGTCACTTTATGCTATTAACATACATTTTAAACATCAATGCCGGGCACCCAGGCAAACCAGTCTGGGTCCATACAACCTACAGTTAGCCACCAAAGTGGACTCTATGGGGGTCCCCGCCACCTAGATCCCTCCTACTGGTTCTACTCTGCATTTTTGTGCACTTAAGTCTGGGCTGGAGTGCCTAAGAGATACCCCTTTTCCTCCCTCTATGCCTTCCGTGATCAACCCACAGCCAAGGACTGATAGGGTGGGACAAATTCTGAGATGCAACTGATACTTGAGAGCCCCCCATGAGCCAAGCTGACCTGGCGTGAATCATCCTCTGGTTCAGAGAGTCGTGCTCTCTTCCCTCCTGTTTGATTCACTGTCTGCCCTGTTCCTCCTGTGAGCATGCCCTTCACAGGCAACTCAGCTGGGACATGGCTTGGGGGAAAAGCAACATCAGCTAACCAAGTACTGCCTGAAGTGCTTCTTTGCATTGGCCTACCACACTCCCACCTGGCTTTAAGAGGCAACTGGAGAGACTCAGGACCAAGGGCATATATTTGTCAACAGCTGATCTTTATTGGTAGAAGGGAACTTAAGGGGACATTAAAAACACCAAAGGTGGCCTGGTTGGGCATCCCCCCAAAAGTACCAAAGGAATCCAGAAATCGCTCTACATTTCCTCTTCTGACCCTATATTTTAGGCGCCTGGATGTCTCCCCAGGGCTCCTCTCTCCTCTTAGGATGGCGATGAACCTGTTAACATGCAGGATGAAAGTCTGCCTTTCATTCTCTCAGGTATTACACTCAAGATTCTTTAGATAAAGAGGACTATTTCCCAGGATTTTGTGGAACCGGAGTGAGTCATAAAATGCTCAGAGCTGGATAGTCCAACGTGACGCTCCATCAACACTGCTGCTGACACAGGAGCTGCAGGGCCACAGTGTGTAGAGGAGTGAGGTGGTCTCCTGCCCACGGGCACTTGTGGCTACTGTCACATTCGTGCATGCTGCTGTTTAGAAAACCCTGCACTAGCCATTGTTTCTCCTAGGGCAGAAGTTAAATCCTCCCAAAAGAAAACCTCCAGATAGGGCTTTCTTCAAGAGCAGAGAACAAACAAAGTCCCAAACTAAATCCGCCCACGTGCCGCCCAGTGCATGCCCTACGCACCCCCATGTGACACTCGTTATAGTATCATTATAGGCAGAATGTTAGAATTTTTTTTTTTTTTTGGTGGCACGAGGATAATTGACAAAACCATTGGTGTATACGTGCCAGCAACCGACATCATGTTTCCCGCGTTCCAGTAGGTAACAGGCTAGGTTGTGTCATCTGGAGATGGCGACAGGGAGGTAAAGCGACTTCTCAAAGACAGGCAGAGTCTGGAATCAGAATTCTAAGCCTGGCTCCCAACGGTCTGCCCTGTCTGTGCCATCTCATGCTGGCACTTGAGTAATTCTTCTCTGGCTCCAATTTCTTGTGCCTGCTTGACAGCCTCTGCAGGCAGGAAGATCTTTCAGATAAAAACCAGCTGCAGAAGCTCTTGTTGCTTCCCTTCAGTTTTTCCTCAAGGGGAGAGAAAAGTGCAGCTTCATGTGACCGACTCGAGTTCCTTCCACTTCCCTTTCTACTTGATTGTCAAGTGAAGCAAGTGAGGCAGTCACATCATGGCCATTGCCATAGTAACAGAGCTTGAAAGATGCCACGGGGCCCCAGAAGGGATGTCTTGCTGGGTACCAGGCAAGAGCCAGGGATGGCAGGCAAAAGAAAGGTCTGGCTTGGTGACCCAAAGGGGACGTATCTATCAGGAAGGGGTTGGCATGTCCTACAAGCTGGGAGCCAGGGGGCACCGGGGCTCCTGCCGTTTCTCCCAGGAATCCCTTGCTAACCTGCTCACCGGCCACCTAGCTGCTTTCGCTGTAATGCGTCCTCACCAGCTGGCTGCGTTGAGGTTCTCGATGAGATCACAGAGTTGGGAAAGGGCTGGGCAGACAAGTTCCCAGTGGCTTCTATGTCATCACCTGGGCTATCTCCTCCCAGATTTCACAGCAGCAGGATCTCATGGGTGGAGGAGCTGTTCTGTTATCGAGATCGGTAGCTGGGTTATAGAGAGGGCGGAAACGCCGACTGCTACGGTCTCTATGCCACCACCTGAGTGTGTGGAAAACTCCACAGCGGAGACTTGTCCCTTTGGCCCTGGAAGCTCCCGGGGGAGGAGGCAGTGTCCACAGAGCTGTTGACAAGCCCAAGACTTAAGTGAGGGAGAAGACCAGGAAGGAGAGACATAAAGCTGGGTGTGGAGACCCAGTGGCTTCTGCTTCTGGGCCAAGGTCCACCTTTCCTGAGCCCCGGGTATGACAGTGCATGCCAGCCAGAGGAAAAGAGCAGTTTTAAGAAACAAGTCTTTTCATGGACCCAATCAGACTAGATCTGAGGAATTAAAGTTTGCAATTAGCATTCTTGAAGAGGTTCCAATCACGCCTCTGGACCACTGACGGGAACCCAAATACCATATCTGCTGGGGCCCAGGCCTGCAGGGCAGAGCACTAGACGATCCAGGGGCTGAGTGTGGGCGCTGCAAGACAGGGCCTGCGTTGAAACGTGGTCCACCATTAATTACCAGCCGGGACAGTCAGCACACAGAGCCTTGTGCCTCAGTTTCCTCATATGTAAAATGGAAGAAGCAACAGTATCTCCAGCACTGGGCCATTGGGAAGTCTGCAGGAGGTCATCCAGGCAGGATGCTTGGAGGTCGCGAGTCAGGAGGTCACACTCAGTGTGGGGTTCACCGAGTTACCCACTGAGGTATCAAGTGGGGCCAGCATTTGTATTTTCAAAATATGTCACAGTGATTCTGATCTACAGCTCTGGTCCATCTGGGGGAGGCTGTGGCTTCTACGCCCATCCCAGTTTGTCGCATCAGGTACAGTAACCAACAGGTTATTAAAATAACTAACAGGTGGGACTTGTCCATTAGCGGTTCCTTGAAGGGACAGCACGGGGGGCCTACCTGGCTGGAGACTGAGTGTGAGTTAGGCGCCTTCCCCACTGGGAGGGAAGGGTGCACGCACTATTCCACAGAAGAGGGGGAGGGGAGGCCGTGAGGTGGGGGGGGGCATAAGTGCTTGAGACCTGTTCTTCAGAAAGTCCCCAAGCTGCTTCCTACACCACGGACCGTCTGCCGTCTCCCACCACCGACCTTCTGCCGTCTCCCCGTGCCTGGCGCTTGGCGTGCTCTCCTCGGCCCTAGTACACCTGGAAGTGCGCAGAGGTGGCCCCGTCCTTCCAGCAGCGCAGGGTGTCCACAGCAACAGAGCGGCACAGAGGACAGGTGCGCTCTCGGTCCAGCCAGAGGCAGAGACACTCCTCACAGAACACGTGCTGTAGGGACAGGAGCCGAGCCACCAGGACCCTTTACTCAGGCTCTATGAGGCGCCTGCTTGGTCCTGGGAGCTGGGGAACCAGCAGTGAGCAAAGCGACCTTTCCTGCCCTCTGGGAACTTGAACTTGCATGCTACTCAGGGAGACATTTGGCAAAGGAATGCAGGAACCGGTAGAGTGTGCCCGTGATGAAAGAGCAGGGGAGTGGGCCTTGGAGGGGAGCCGGGGGCCCTGATGGTGACTGGGAAAAGAGTGCTCCAGGAAGGAGGAACAGCCCGAGTAAAAGCTATGAGGCAGGAATGGACTGGCGTGTGGGGAGAAAGCCAGGACACCGCGGCTGAGCTTTGGCGTCTGGCGAGGGGTTGGGAGAGGTGACATCTGCGCGTAGATGGGGGTCGGTGCAGACTGTGCACAGCCCTGGGAGGCCTCTGGCTCTTATTCTGAGGCAGTAGGGAGTCACGGTAGGCCCTGAGCAGAGGAGTGGCCTGAATAGATGCTGCGTGACAGAAATATCCTTTTGGCTGCTGGGTTGACCACAGAGGTCAAGAGAAAGGCAGGAGACTGGAAGTAGTAACAGGTGCCACGACTTCCTGGCCATATAACTAAGTAAGTGACTTCACCTCCCCCGCTCCGCCCCGGGTCTCAGTTTCTTCAGCTGTAAAATGGGGATGATAATAGTACTCTCCTCATAGGAAGATTATCAGTAAAGGCACTGAGACATGACCAGTAAATGTATATACAATTCTCAAGTGATTCCTGGATGAGGCTGAAAACCCTGGCTATGAAGGACATTCTGAAGACAAATGCAGAAATCTGAACCTATGCCATATATGTGCTATAATATTTTGTATCGACTTAAAATATCCTGAATGAGATAAATTGCAATTATGGGAGAGAATATCCTTGGGAATATCCTTGGGAATATTTTTGGGAAATGTTTGCTAAAAAATTTAGGGATGAAGAATCAAATGTCAGCAACTTACTCTCAAAGAGTTTAAAGGGAAATTTTCTATCACGAAAAGGCAGATGTGGTAAACTGTTAATGACTAGTGAATTCAGGTGAAGGATACAAGGATGTTTCTTCTACCAGCCTTCAACGTTTCTGTAGGTCTGAATTTTTCAAAATAAAAAGTTTGGGCAAAATGATCATATAAAAATCTGCACAAAATGTGTTCCAAAACATAAACTAACGAAAATGAAATAGAGAGAGCACTTAGGATAATGCCTGGAAGACAGGAAGTGTTGTCTAAGTGTTAGCTTATTATAACACTTAATATAAGTGTTACATTATTACAGTAATAATGAGTTTATCTGCGTAATGTTCATTTCCTGCCTCTCCATGCCAGACTGTTAAGTTCCTGGTAAATCCATTCCCAGCACGGTATGCAGCAGGTGCCTACTTGCGGAGTTTCTAAAGAAGCACTTCATGTTGTTGTGAGGGCATGGGAACAGGGAACCAGTCTGATCCAGTAGGGCTTCCTGGAGGTGGGGACACTTGACATGCCCAGCACCTGGAGAAAGGCCTCAGCCCCTCCGGGGACAGGGAACAGCGCCTTCTCGCTTGGGAAGTGTAGGGCTGGGTGGGTGTATGGGTAATGCAGGCAGGTGGTGCTTAGTCATTAGTCATGAACTGTTCCCTGCTGGGTCTCTAGGAGCAGGGAGTGGGGCGAGGCATCCCTGGAGTTAGAGGCTACTCTCCCTTCACCCTGAGTTCCATCCCAACTCCCTGGGTTTTGCTCAGCTGCAGAGCAGACTTTCTGAGCCTGTTCCCTTCACTACAAAGTGGGGTTACTATTTCCTTTCCCAGGTGTTGGTACGAAGGAAAGCAGGTGAGGCTGTCAGCAGCAATCAACAGGAGTTACCGTTCTCTTGCCCTCTTTTATATCATCCATGCTCAAAAAAATAAAAAAGCCAAAAACCCGTGGTGGCCAAGAACTGGAGGGAGGGCAGTTTGCTGACTGTGGCCAAAGTGCCCTTTCCCTCCACAGCACTGCAGGAGGCCCACCCTAAATGCGTGTGGGGGGACCAGGTGTGGATGTCCGCACAGACACACTTATAGACACACTCAATGTCAGCCTGGCTATCTACCTTCAGTTGACAACCTGCCTCTCAGGCCTGGCTGGGACCTGTGACGGAGCACGGGTGTGAGTGACACACTGAAACTCATGAGATGAGTCTCAGAAGGGAAGACAGGATGGTCCTTCAGTCTAATGGGTTCTTCCTCCATCTATGCTTCTCACTGTCCTGTTCACCCACCCTCTATCCATCTATCCAGTAACTTATCCATCTCTTCAGCCACCCCCTTACCACCCTGCCCTCCACCCACCCATCTGCCTATCCATCTAGTTACCCACAGATTTACTCTCCTCCACTCACTTTTGCACGCACTCACCTACCTAACCTTCCACCTAACCGCCATCCATCTCCATCCAACCTCTACCCATCTCATTCCATTCATCTATTCATCCCATTAATCCATCATCCATCAGCCTGTCTGTCCATCCATCCACTCATCTCTAATCCAACCATCCATCCCATCCATCCATCTCCATCACAACCATCTCATTCCATCCAGTCTTATCTATCCCAACCATCCGTCCATGCTGTTCCATTTCTCCCACACACCCACCCCATCCCACCTATCCAGTCATCCTACCCCATTACATCACATTCCTTTCAGTCATTCACCCATCAAACGTATTCTATTGTGCAATATTTACTGAGTCAGTACTATGGGTCTGCTGCTAAACAAGACAGACATGATTGCCACTCTCAAACTGCTTATAACTTGGTAAAGAGGAGACAGACCATATACAACCAGTTGCCCAGTCAAGGTAACAAGTTGGTTAAGTGCTATAAAGGAAAAACAAAGGGATCGATGAGATTATATAGCTGGAAGTTCAACCAGTCTGGGAATGCATCACTGAGGATGCAACATGACCCATTCATTCACTTACTCATTCATTGAATGCATGAATGAGTTAATGAGGCCCTTTCGCAGTGGAAGTCATCTGTGTGTTCCAGGTTTGGCTCCCAGCAGCAGAACAAGACAAGTGCCAAGCGCCACTGGGAGCAGTTGTTGCTCCTAGGTCTGGGGCAACTAGCTCAAGGCACAGCAGTGTCTTGTCCAGCCCCTCCCAAGAATTATCACCCAGCTCTGGGGAGACACAGTGGAAGAGAGACAGACTATGGCTTGGCGAGACTGCCAGAAAGGAAGAAGAAAGACTTTCACCTTGACATCATGTTCAAATAATCACTGCTACCGAGAAGGAAATACAGATGGCTCTGAAGCATATGAAATGATGCTCATAATTAGAGAAATGCAAATTAAAACTGCACTGAGATAGCGTTTGTCACCTGTCAGATTAGCAAAGCTCAAAAAAGACTCCCTAACACGGTGAGCTGGTGAGGAAGGGGAGCGGGTGGTTGTTTTGCCCTCGGCACTGAGTCAGTAAACGGATACACTCTTTATGGAGGGCAATTTAGCAATATCTGTCAAGACTACGTACCCTCTGACCTAGTAATTCCACCACTAGGAATTTATTCTATCAAGGGCTCACACATGTGTGAAATGGAATGTGTGCCAGGAAGAGCTGATACTTGCTGAACCTTGAGCAAGAGCTAGGTGCAGCTGTAAATGCTTTACTTGAATGAACTCACTTCATCAACAGTGAGCCCAGGTAGGTGCTATAGCTCTCTCTAGTTCTGCTCTTTCACAACAAAAGATAATAACAAAAGCTTATGAGCTATTTAAATGCCTATGGACAGAAGGATGGTTAAACAAATTATGGTCTCCCATGCGAAGCAATTTCTTAAGACAGAGTTTCAAGTTAAAAAGGAAAGAGGAAGAATGCAGTTTGGACAGAATATGTAGGCACTTATGTCTTTTTGGAAAACATATGTTTGTATGTATGTGCGCTGTACATATATATGTCTAAATCCTATAAGGCAGGCATCTCTGGAGAAGTATCAAGGAAGCCGGTAACCATGGTTACCGGTGTGGGTACCATGGGGTTGGGGAGCTGATGACAAGGGTGGGAGCCCCGTCCCTACTTTTTGATCCTCAAAACATTTTTTTGTATAAGCTTTGTATTCTGAAATACTTTCAGACTTACAGAAAAGTTGCAAAAATAGTACAGAAAGTCCCCATGTCATTCCGTTTCAGTCTTCCTCAATATTGTCATCTTGCATGGCCGCAGTACATTTGGCAAAGCTAAGACACCTGCACCTTGATACTTGACTGTTAACTCCACACTTTTCATCCGATTTCAAATAACAGGTTTTCCTATTTGGGTCCCTTCTCTGGTCCAGGACCAAGCTAGGGGCCATGTTGCACTTGGCTGTCATGGTTCTTTAGTCTCCTTTTGGAATTTTTAATCATGCAATTATCTTCTCAATTTAAAAATCAGCAACAATAAAATTTCAAAACAAACCTCCTAAAACTCCCCAAACAGCAAACACATACACACACACACAAAATGCTTGCTGATGCCAAAAAAGGGGGCCACCTCCTGTCCTCCCACCCCAAGAAGGTGGAGGAGGTGGTGGTGGGGGGCCATATGTTCTCCTGTTTCTTCTAGGCTGCAGACTTTACCTCCTTCCAAAAAGCCTTCCCAACCTGGAATTCATCGCTGTCTGTCCTGGTCCCCGGGGATGCTGCTTGGATCTCTTGCACAGCACTCATCACTGCCTGCCTTGTTTCATAGTTATTTATGTATGTGTGTCTGTCCCCAAGGAGACCGGCAGCCTCCCGAGGAGGGGACAGGGTCTGTGTGCCCACTGTCTCCCCTCCCCAGTGCCTGGTAGGAGACGTGGGCTCCCACACATTTGTTGAATTGACATCTTAGACCCTGGTGTCAGGAGAAGGAGGAGAAAGTAGAGGAGGGAGGAGGAGGAGGGATACATTTAGGGAGTTAAAAGGGATTGATCAGTATTTGCTGGCTGGGGTTGGTGACCCCCAAGTACTAATGAAAACAAACAGTAAAAATAATGATAGTGTAACAGTATAATGTAATAACACTATTATGGCTGAATACCTGAAATTTTGCTCTGTAGAGATGATCTCATTTGCTCATGATAATAGCTCTGTGAAGTAGGTCTGTATTAGGGTACCCACTTTATACAAGAACAACCGAGATTTGTGGAGACAGAGTGACCCACCCAAGATGCAGGGTGCAACTGGGATTCACCGGGGACATCCTGACATGACACCATGCTCAAGTTTTCATTTTCTATATTTTACTAATAAAACTAAGCTCAGAGAGGTGATTAAACCCACCCAAGGCCACCCCACTCATAAGAGGCAGAACTCCCTGAGGGACCTCCTTGGTGGCACAATGGGTTAAAACACAGCACTATGAGGCTCTCTGCAGCCACTGCAGCACCAGTTCGATCCCTGGCCAGGAAGCTGACCCACACAGCACAGCAGACCTCTCCTGTCCAGCCTGCTGTTCCCTTCATTGATCTGCCTATTTTTCTCCCCACTCTGTCTCTGGTGAATCCTCTCACCACCCCTGCACCTCTGACCTGTACACCCTAGTTCTGTATATATAAATAAATAAATCTTTTAAAAAAAAAAAAAAGAGGCAGAACTGAGCTTTCAAGTGGAGCCTGGCTGACTCTGGTACTGACCCAACTGTTCCCTAAGACCCATCCCAGAGCCCACAGGTTTGGTCACCAGACAACTTCCTGAGACTGCTGTTGGGGGGCAGGAACAGCTGCCAGCCCTTCTGTGCCTCCGAAAGCCCCACCCAGCCCTGCTCACCTGGCACATAAGGATCAGAGGCTCCCTGAACTCAGCCTGGCAGATGGCACAGATATCTCCAGCTTCTGTGCACTGTTGCCCAGTGGCCCGGACTCCGTAATTCTGTTTGAGGGAGGGGAGGAGAGGAACACAGCTGAGGACCTTCGCTGGAGTGATCTCCTCAGATCTGTTCCTGGTTCCTGCAACTTCAGTCAGGCCCAACTGATGTCAACTCACCTGAGAGGTGCAAAGAAGTTTCAGGGCTTTTCTAACTCCGCCCACACGGCCGCAGATGTCGAATGACTGAAAGGAGAGCAGGGTGGTGGCTGAGGGCTTCTCTTACCCCTTCTGAACAACCCCTCCTGGCCCCTCAACTTTGATTCTGAACTTTTTTCAGAGCACTTTCCTCTATTTGAAAGTCCTCATTTCCATCAATTTTGAATGGTTACCGTCTTGCTGCTTCAAATCTATAGTGTTCCCTGTTACCTGTGCCAGGACTCATATATATGGCACACACACTGCCTTTTCCCCTGGCTAAGCCCAGGACAGGCATTACTAATCAATCACAGCACTCTTCCTAAAGACCCAGCCAGGACATGATAATCCATCTCCACCTAGCACTCCAGTCAATCACTGCCAGTCAGTAGGAATCAGCAGGCAAGATAAACCTCAGTGGCTGATATCACATGAGTTGTCCATCTGGGCCTGCTGGCAGGAAGGAACAAGGAGGCATGGGCCCCCCATGATTCTCTAAAGCCAGAAATAGAGAAGGAAAAAGAAAGAGGATATATTTGTGAGGGGAAAATAATCCTGATTTATACTAATGATTTAAGATAAGAGCTGCATACTGCTCTGCAAAGCTGGGGGTGTGCACTTTAACAGGAATAAAAAGGAAGTTCAGCTATGCTGTCGACTGTGGGTTAAGAACTCCAGTCTGGCCCTCCCTGGTGGCACAGCGGGTTAAAGCACAGCACTGAGAAGCTAAAGCCACTTCAGCATGAGTTCGATCCCTGCCCTGGAGCTGACCCACATGGCGCGGCAGACCTCTCCTGACCCACCTGCTGCTCCCCTCAGCAGTGTCGGCCTGTTCAGCTCCCCACTGTCTCTGGTGAATCTTCTCACCACCCCTACACCTCTGGCCTGCACCCCAGCTCTGTATGCTTACACAAATACATATTTAAAAAAAAAAAAGAACTCTAGTTCTTGGAGGCAGTTGGCCTGCTTTTGATGCTCTTTCTGTTATTGCCAGCTAAGTGTTGCTGGGCAAGTTATTCTCTCAGAGCCTCAGTTTTCTCATCCATAAAATGGGAGTAACAACAGTTTATACCCTGAAGGGTGGTTAGAAAGTGACTATGTGAAAGCCTAGCAGGTGGTGGGTTTCTTAGGCAAGAAGTTCAGGTGGATTTAACCCTTCTTGAAAGAAGGGAAGACTAATCTGTGCTACAGTGTGGGGGAAACTTGGAAATATTGCGCTAAGTTAAAGTCACATCTTGTAGGATTCCACATACATGAAATATCCAGAGGAGTTAAGTCCATAGAGACAGAAAACAGTAGTTGCCAGGGCCTGGGGGGAGGGATGGGAGTCACTGCTTAATGAGTACAGGGTGTCTTTTTGGGGTGATGAAAATATCCTGGCACTTGATAGAGGTGGAGGCCATGCAACACAGAATGTGCTAAATGCCAGTGATTTGTATCGTGAATTGAACTTTCATTAAAAAGAGAGAGACAAAGGTGGTTATCCAGGCTCCTGGTGGCCCCAGGCCCGGCTAGTAAATGGGTCTGTCTTTGGCCAGCCCTCCAGCCCTGGGCCACCTCACCTTGCAGAGGCTGTAGAGGATGATCAGGACGCCTCCCAGGAAGTAGCTGTTGGAAGAGTCATCACCCATGATGTATTTATACCACAGCTGGATGGGGACAAGTGACCGGAACAGCTGGCTCAACTCCTCGATGACCAGATAAAACTTTCCCTGCAACCACACAGAAAGCATCAATTATTATTAGCAATAAAGACCCAAAGGACCCAGCTGGGGGGACCCCCAGCCTGAGCAGTAATGACATTTCAGGTCACAGGCAGGCCATTAATCAGCTCTGGAAAGCACTCAGGCCTGTTCCCAATGGGCCTGCGAAACAGCCAGGGAGACCTGGCCCCTGCCCGCTGCCCTCACCCGCTGCCCACCAGCCCAGAGGCTCAACCACCGAGGATCACGTTTCAGGGAGGGAGAAACTGGACACCTTTGGACGAGGGCTGCAGTGTGGGTCATACTCCCCGGTGCCTGCTGAGGGCTCCAAGCCTTTACAGGGCTGACCCAAGGCTCTCAGGGGCATCCCTCATGGGCATCCACCCTCAGGGGCATGGGTAAGATGGACCGCAGGACCCAGGGAAGGCCAGGCTGAGAGGTGAGGAATGGGCAGACACGTTCACTTTCCCAGCGCCATCACCTCTTGCTTCCAGGGAGGCAGGGCAATTTCTGGTGCAAGAAGGTGGACTGGGACTCAGGTGGGCAGCGTTGGAATCTCCTCTTGCTGTGTGTTGGTGAGCCCCAGCTTTTTCATCTATGGATGGGAACCACAGTTTCTACCTCGTTGGGGTGCTCTATGGACAGGGTACAGACCTGGCGCAGAATAGTGGTCAACAGACCCTATCTGCCTTCCTCCCTCAGTGTTCTGCAGTCTGTGCTGTAGCACAGAGATGGAAACAGCCCTGCCCTCTTTGTCTAATAGTTAAACACACACGCAGGTGGTTGGACAGCATCACCCTGGGTAGGGGCCCGAGAATCATGAGAACATGTGTCCACTTGCATGGAACGTTCATTGGCTTTATTCAGAATGTCCCCAAACTGGAAACATCCCAAGGGCCAGTCGGTGGAAGGATGGACTAAACACACAGCAAGGCAGAGGAGGAGACGGCAGACATGTACGACAGGATGAAACTCACCGGCACCGGGGAAATCCAAGAAGACAGTCCTAAAGGGTGTGCATTGTCTAATTATGATTTAGAGGAAGTCCCGGCTAGGAAATCCTGACTTGGGGTAGAAACCCAGTGAGTGATTTTCAGGAAGGAAGAGGGAGGACGGACCACAAGGGAGCCTCAAGAAATTTTGGGGAGTAACAGTAGTTTCACAGCACGACCGCAGTGGGAGGTTAAAAGGTGTAAATATGTGTCAAAACGCACTGGAATCTATGCTTCTCGTCATGCATTTTATTGCATTACACATTGCACCTCATGAAAGGGATAAGGCACTTTTTCTGTGTTTGAAACATAGAAACAAGTAGCTCTGTCCCAGGCCTGCATGACCTGAGCAATGTGAGTACTCCTTCCTCGAGCAAATCTACTCTTAGGAATCTATCCTGACAAAATGACCAGGGATGTGATGCGCGTGCAGGGGTGGCCACAGGGACTGTCCCTGGGCTCCCTTTGTCTTAGCACAAAGACAAGTAATGAACTGAATGTACAAAAAGAGGGTCTGATTATAGTAAAGGAAATGGACAAAGGAAAGTCACACAGCCATGAAAATGTCATTGTAAAAACAGTCTCTTGGGGCCCCGGTGGTGGCACAGGGGTTAAAGTCTCAGTGCTATCAAACTATCACTAGCCACTGGCCTGAGTTTAATCCCCGGCCAGGGAGCTGACCCACAGGGCCCAGCAGACCTCTCCTGTCTCACCCCTGCTCCCCTTAGCAGTGTATTTTAGTTGATCTGCCTGGTCTGCTCTCCACTCTGTCTCTGACGAATCTTCTCGCCACCCCCACCTATGGCCTGCACCCCTATATGAATAAAAATAAATCTTAAAAAAAAATAGTTTCTTTGCCAAGAAAGCCTGCCCATCCCACGTCAACCACTGATCAAGACTAACAGGCCACAATGTCACATTAGCACCAGCTGGACATCTCCCCCTGTATGGGCCCTGGGCAGTGATACCGCTATGATGCCCCTAACCTCAACTGAATGGTGAGAAAACAAGAGACAAGTCCCAAGTGAGGGGCATTTCTGTCTTCTAACAGTCCGGCACTCTTTGTAAGTGTCAAGGTCATGAATGATAAAGGAAAGTCTACGGACCTGTCCCCAAGGGGGGGTCTCCTTCCAGGTGACCTGAGCCCATCAAGACAGGCTTGCACAGGTGGGGGTGAAGGCTCTGTCACAGCCTGCACACCACCCACTTGATGGATGTGCAACCTATTTTTAACCTCTTTTTCTCTCTCTAATTTAAACAGATCACAGGCTCATTACAAACAAAACATGGAAAAGGCAGAAAAGCACCAAGAAAATGAAGGCTTCTGCATTCTGTACCGTTAGAACTAATGGGAGTATTTCCTGGAGTCTGTAGATTTCGCCAGAATTTCATTTCTATCTTTTCATTTGGAAATAATTTTAGGTTTAAAGAAAAGTTGTGCAAATAGGACCGAGAGCTCCCATCTACCCTTCACCCAGCTTCCCCTCAGCAAACACCGGCTGACACCATCGTGCAATTAGCGAAGTCAGGAAATTAACACTGAAACTGTGCTGTTAATTGCGGACCTCACAGACTTTGCCAGTGTCCCTCTACCATCTCGTTCCTGTCTAGGGCTGAATACAAGGACCCACACTTTGCATTTTTTCTTCACTGCCCCTGCTGAGGACTAAGGGCACCGACTCACCCCAACTGCCTGACCTCTGTGCCTGCTTCTCAGGAGTGAGGTCATCATTTCCCAAGGGACCTGCTTTCCCCCTCTGGACTCCTGCCCGCAACTATCCTCGAGGGAAATGCTGGTTTCCCTCTACAGCGGTGGAAGGTGGCGGTACTAGGGAGCAGAGGTGAGGGGCCGGCTGCCAGGTTGCTGGCATCGTGATGGACGCTGGGCTGCTGCTGCTGCAGCTCAGTGGATAGCAAAGGCCGCCCAGCTCTGGCCAAGTCTGGACAGCAGGCCCCGCTCTGCAGAAGCTTTGTTCTCCTGAACTACCCAACCTCAGCTGCCCAAGCTTTCCTCATTGCCTCTCAACTGCTCTTACCCAGGGTTTTCCCAGCTACTGCCCATTCCAGCTCATTCTGGAATAACAGTCCAGTCTCTCCCGACTTCTAACCTTAACGCAATTGCCTGGCATGTTGTAAAATTCAGTGCACCTCCAGCAAGCCCTTTCGTTCTTCCTTTCCTCCTCTCCTGTGAGTCTATGCATCCATCTTCCCCTCCCTTTCTCCTTCCTTTCCTCCCTGGACACCCACCATATATGAGACACAGCACTAGGTTCTGGAAATAATGAGATAACTAAGACTCACTGCCATCCTCAGAAAGCTCATCACCTCACGAGGAAGACGGACACTAAGCAAAAGATTGTAAGACAGTGTTGAATTCTTTTAGCGGTAAGCACGAGAGCTCCCCAGCACTGAGGCCTGGGGCAGGAGTGGGGATGGGTATTTAGGTAACTCTAAGAGAAGGTATCGCTTAAGTTGCTCTTACGAGCCTTGCTTCCCAGTGTGATCCCTGGATCGACAGTGTCTCTGTCACCTGGGAGCTGGTTGGAGATGCAATCACTCAAGCCTCAATGAATCGGAATCTGCTATTAACCAGCTTTGCCGGGTGTTGTGTATGCACAATTTTAATGCATAGGAAGGGAGCAGAAGGGTGAGGGAAATGAGGAAGAGGGGGATGATGAAGACAGACGTAGAGGAAAGGACAGTCCGTGGCTCTGGGTCATGCTGGTGGGCAGCCAGCCTCATGGTCAGCGAGGACTTGGTGCCCTCATGGAAGGTCCTATGTGCCCGAGTCTCTGGGGATCCCTGAATACTGGTATCTGGTTGACCCGGAGACAAACCCTGCAGTGCCCTTGCAAGCCGATCTTGCACAGCCAGCCTGGCTTGGAGGCTCACAGTGCAGCCTCAGAAGCCAGTAAGCCTGGGGTCAGCCAGAGCCTTGGTCAAAGGCTTTGGATTCCCAATTCTCAGGTTTCAGTAACAGAGGGCTGTCCCTGCTCCAACAAACCAAGCTTTGTTCTGGTCTACTGAGAAGGTCTAGAATAGGGGTGGCAATCTTTTCCAGAGAGTAAAGGACCAGAGAGTAGTAGGTGCTTTGGTTTGGCAGCTCTGCATTCTCTACTACAGCTACTCCACTCTGCTCCTGCAGCATCAAAGCAGCTCTAGCAATGGGCATGACTGCATTCCAATAAAACTTTATCCACAAAAAGTAAGTGTCAAGATTTATTTGGTCTGTGGTCCCTGGTTGGTGGACCTCTGCCTAGAACCCAGGTTAGTCAAGTCCCATTGGAGACCCCAACACATCCCCAGGATTTCCAAGGAGGCTCAGATATCAGCTTCATGACCCTTCTTTTAATGGCTTCTACACTGAACTCTTCCTCTGCAGAATGAATGTTAACCACCTGTTCTTTGCAGAGCTCCTACCTGTTCAGCTTCTGGGTCTCGGCTGTCACCTCCCTTCTATGGCAAGCCTTCCCCTCCTATGGCAAACCTTCCCCACTCCTTAGATTAGGTCCTCCTGTTATCCCTCTACATCACAGAACACAGCATTTTAAAAAATCATTTTAGTATCTTTCTCTCTTTCACTGGAAGCATGAGGGTTATTTTGTTTCTAGTCATATTCCCAGCATCTAGCACATAGTGAATGCTCATTTAATGACTCTAAAGCTAAAGAGTCCACCCTCGTTACTCATATCAACACCTTAGAGTTTGCTGACAGAAAAGAAGAGTTGGAACATAGAAGAGAACTTCTCTTTAAAGCATGCACTGATGTCACAGAAAAGAAAATAAATGGAATGAGGGCTGCATGGCACCATACTAAAGGTAGCAATTAGCTGCCAGGGGGCGGGCCACTTGGAGAAGGAGATAAAGCCACCGAGGAAAGCCGGGCATCTCCCAATGAAACCATCTCTCTCTAATTAAGCGGTTTTATAATTCCAGGTTTTCTAAGCGTGTTATTTCTGATGACTACCAAATGGAATATGTGGTTTCTCAGGGCCAGAGAACATGGAAAGAAATGAA